GCAAAACCTGTTTCAAATCACCACTGCAAACTGTGCAAGGCACCCAAGTCGCATAATCTCACTCATTATCGATCAAACAGTACTGTTCACAGATTAGCACTTGTTGATTATATTAACTTTATCATAGACACTGGTCTTGTCTTTGACATGATTAGTGATGTAAAAGTTTTTTTTTTACCAGCCAGTAAAAACAGTGATAATAGCACAGCCCTTCAGGCATGTATGTAACACTAATGTTTGACCGATGGCCCTCGACACAAATTGAAGCACAGCCAGTGGATAGATGCTTTAATATCTTACCCTGGCTGCAGGGCATGTACACTGTTCTGTAAATAAATGTTATCAAATCAAATCAAATCAAATCAAATCAAATCTCTCTCTCTCTCTCTCTCCCCTCTCTTCTATCTCTCTCTCTCTCCCCCTCTCTTCTATCTCTCTCTCTCCCCCTTTCTTCTATCTCTCTCTCTCTCCCCCTCTCTTCTATCTCTCTCTCTCTCCCCCTCTCTTCTATCTCTCTCTCTCTCCCCTCTCTTCTATCTCTCTCTCTCTCCCCTCTCTTCTATATCTCTCTCTCTCCCCTCTCTTCTATATCTCTCTCTCTCCCCTCTCTCTTTCTTCTCTCTCTCTCTCTCTCCTCTTCTTTCTCTCTTCCCTCTCTTCTCTCTTTCTCCTCTCCCCTCTCTTCTATATCTCTCTCCCCTCTCTTCTATATCTCTCTCTCTCTCCCCTCTCTTCTATATCTCTCTCTCTCCTCTTCTTTCTCTCTTCCCTCTCTTCTCTCTTTCTCCCTCTCCCCTCTCTTCTCTCTCTCCCTCTCCCTCCCCCCTTCTCTCTCTCTCTATCTCCCCCTCCCTTATCTCCATCTTTCCCCCTCCTTTCTCTCCCTCTCTCCCCCTCCCCTCTCTCCTCTCTCCTCTCTCTCGTCTCTTCTCTTCTCTCTCTCTTTCTCTCCCCTCTATTCTCTTCTCTCTCTTTCTCTCCCCTCTCTTCTCTTCTCTCTCTTTCTCTCCCCTCTCTTCTCTTCTCTCTCTCTCCCCTCTCTTCTATCTCTCTCTCCTCTCTCCCCTCTCTCTCTCTCCCTCCCCTCTCTTCTCTCTCTCTCTCTCTCCTCTCTCTTCTCTTTCTCTCTCTCTCATCTCTCTTCTCTCTCTCTCTCCCTCCCCTCTCTTTTCTCTCTCCCTCCCTCCCCTCTCTTTTCTCTCCCTCCCCCCTCTCTTCTCTCTCTCCCTCCCCTCTCTTCTGTCTCTCTCCCCTCTCTTCTGTCTCTCTCCCCTCTCTTCTCTCTCTCTCTCTCTCTCTCTCTCTCTCTCTCTCTCTCTCTCTCTCTCTCTCTCTCTCCCCTCTCTTCTGTCTCTCTCTCTCTCTCTCTCTCTCCCCTCTCTTCTGTCTCTCTCTCTCTCTCTCTCTCTTCTGTCTCTCTCTCTCTCTCTCCCCTCTCCTTTCTCTCTCTCTACCCTCTCTTCTGTCTCTCTCTCCCCTCTCCTCTCTCTCCCCTCTCCTCTCTCTCCCCTCTCTTCTCGCTCTCTCTCTCTCTCTCTCTCTCCCTCCCTTCTCTTCTGTTTCTCTCTCTCTCCCTCCCTTCTCTTCTGTTTCTCTCTCTCCCCCCTCTCTTCTCTCTCTCTCTCCCCTCTCTTCTGTCTCTCTCTCTCTCTCTCCCCCCTCTCTTCTCTCTCTTTCTCTCACCACCCTCTCCTCTCCTCTCCTCTCTCTCTCTCTCTCTCTCTCTCTCTCTGTCTCTGTCTCTCTCCTTCTCCACCTCTTTTTTCTCTTCCTTTCTCCCTCGTCCCCCTTCTCTGTTTCTTCCTCGCCCTCACCCCCTCTCGGTTTCTCCCTTTCTCTCTCCCTCTCCATCCCTCCCTTGCGTTCTCCCTCACCTCCCCCTCTCTGTCTGTCTCCCCCCCCCGACCCCCCCCCCCCCCCCCCGCTGTCCTGGCCCCGCCTAGGCCTCCCCATAGTTTCGCTGCCACTTCCGGCTCCGTGCATCGAGTCTTCCGCACCACCGTTCGCCTCGGAATAATTGCGGAGGAGTTTCCTGCGGGTGCGAGGCGCGCTAACGGTCCGGGTTCGTGGTCGCCCATTAGCGTCGCAGGTCGCACGTGGCGGCGCGCTTCCTCCGCCGTCGAAGGATCAGTCTCCGAAATAATCTCCTGCAGCGACAGTTTCCACGGGCATGCCCGTCCCTGCCAATGCGTGTGCCTCTGCAGCCAGACACGGGCCTCAGAGGGAGGCCGTAGCCAGCGCAGCGTCGCGACATACGATGACCGACTAACGTTCATCACCAACCACGTCGTCTGGCGCCAGACGACCGAGGACTGGCTTGCGGATTCCGCGCGGCGCCTGGCCCGGATCTCCCCAAATCAGAAGGGCCATTCGGAGCCATCGGCAGCAGCATACGGCTCATTTACATAGACAGCAGCTGACGCCAAGGACCGCCGGACTACCTCCGAGAGCATGACTGAGAACACTTACAGGATTTGACAATTTCCATGGCTCAGTAATGACTGGAAATGGATTAACTGGCAGATTCCTTTAAGACAAACGGATTCCTGTTAGACCGTCAATGCGGCGATACTGACACAAGTGCCCTTAACAAAAAACGAGAAGTGGAAACATATACGTCATACACTATTTAACAATCTAGTTTGTGTGATTCTTCTTCGGCGCCGCATCCTTCCCGGCCTCGGCTCTTCCTTCACGCCGTCTGGTCCGCCACTCGACGAAGTCTGCCGCTGCCGCCGAGCGCTGCGACGGCGAGACAAAAAGGAGCGGGCGGCATGAGTCAGGGGCGCCCGCAAGTTCACCGCACGCCCGCCACGCCAAAAGACGCTGGCGGGCGTGCGTGCGTGCGTCTCGACTGCCTGACGGGCGTGACGGGCGACCCCAGGAAGGAGGCGCCGCTGCTGCTTCTTCCCGCGCGCTGTCAGTCTCTCCTCCCTCGGGTGTCACAGCTCTGCTTCACGCACGTCACCAGGAGCCGATCTTCCCGCTGGCGCGACCGACCGGCGTCTGGCGGGAGGAGTCGGAGCGAGTCCTTCCCTCCGCGACATTCAGTGCTGCAGCTCGTGGCTCTGGTTGTATACAAACTCACTTCTAAGGTCTGCTGAAGTAAACAGACCTTGGCTGCACCGGGGTTCCACTGCGCCCGGCGGCGTCTGCGGCGCTGCTTGAGGCGCTGCGCCAGCGGAAAGGCGACGCTTCACTGCGCCTTAATGATGCGCGATGCGGTTTTACAATTAAGCTCCAACTGATCCACAAATCCTTGTCACGAACATTATACCGAATATACTGGTTCCACATGACCCCGCCTGCAGTTTCTACTTCATTATCCGTGAAACCTAACGGGAAACCTATGCAGAAGCGGTGTCATGTGACGCACGAACCTTGATCAACCGGCAGTTCGATGAAACGTCAGTCAACGGAAAGAAGACTAAAACTCACGATTTTAGAAATATCTCCAACCAGAGGACGTTTAAAACAAAAGTGAAAGAACATCTACTGAAATATCAATGACATCAGGCGTTTGAACATCAAGCCAAGCATGAAATTTCAGTCATCTGTGATATTAATGTTCTGTCTAATCCTGTTAAATAAGTATTGTATAATAACTATGTATATAACATCCTATTGCATAATGTAAACATGTCAAATGGCGACCTCTTATTCAGTCCAACTAGGGTTGGACCGCTTAGTCTGGGAGGCCTTGCGATCAAAGTAACTTAAAATAACCATTCTCATCTACCTTGAGCCAAGGAGGAACTTCTGCGCCTTGACAAAATCCCCTCGGAAGGGGTGCCACGCCCGCGCTCCATGAGCAGAGCCCGTCATCTTTTTCTGATGGTTTGCAAGGGTCACAGAAAGGAAGGAAATGAAAAAATATTCTCCAGCGACTTCATCCTATGCAGCAGCATAGTCAGTAAGCCCCGCGAGGCGCGTTGGCGGGGGTGCCAGGCCAAACCCATCTCGCGGGCCAACGCGGGTACAGACACGGCTGCCCAGGATCACGGCATAAAAAACCGTCTGATATTCCGTACAAGTACATGAAGTATCTATTAATTATTAAATGTTAAGTGTAAACTATATTACCATTATGGTATAGAGGTTACATAGAAATTCTCTTTTTCCTCAGCATGATTTACTTTCCTCCTTGACGATCATCATTTCACAGGTGGTCGTTGTTCCCCGCAGGCCATTGATGGCCGTCCCGAGGGCCATGAATCTGACACCCCCGGAGGCTATAAGAAGGTATGCGCGGCCATGGGTATTCGCAGACCAATTGCCCGCAATTCGATTTATTAATTCTGATAGTTTACACTTTCATTTTTAACTTTGGCATCGATATGTTCCAATGCACTTTATGCAATGATTATGGTGCATCAACGGGAATACGGCGATGAAAATTTAAAGTCAACGCATTTAGTCCGAAAACACCTTCGGACGCGGCTTCCCTCATATACTCTCCATAGATGTACAATATTCATTCAAACACACGCGAACTCCATAGGAACTTTCACTGTAGGACAGCTGATCACACACATACTATACCTGTTTATCACTGTAGTTTTAATACGATAATCTGTTTGTACCATTTACTCCAAGTCTTACTCTCCTGGGCGCATCAAAAGGACAAAGAAGCAAACCCTATCGCTTAGGATGACGCGCTGACATCATTATATAATTCCAAAAGCTTTCCGGACTGCATCGAGTAGTGAACACCAGCCGGCAAAACCACCCGAGGCCGAGACACGAACACCACTTCATGCTCTGCCACAGCGAGGAACAGATAAGCCTCCAGAGGAAGCACGGGGCGAGGCAGGTCCCGGGACCAGCTCCTGCCCGGCCTCGCCTTCCCCGCGTCTGCCGACAACCAGTGTTCATCCGGAACCTGTCTCGGGCACAACATCCAGTAATCCGCGTGTAAAAGGCAGGCTGCAGGTCCTCGCGCCAGACAGGGGAGGCGGCGCTGAACCCGAGCGCCCGAAACGAAGGGGAGCGACACTTACCGGGACGTGGTTGGCGTCGGTGTATTGGAGGCCGAAGTAGTCTTTCTCGATGATGTCCATGGAGTAGAAGACCCGCTCGTACAGCTCCTGGCCCAGCGCCTTTTTCTGCAACAGGTAAAACTACTGTTAGTTCATCTCGCCGACAATGAGTTAGAAGCACTCGCTGGAAATGAGCGCAGGGTGTTCTATCGCACCAACATGGCGAGACAAGTTCACACTGGAATCAACAAGGGCGCAAGGGAGCTGCTAAGGACATCGCGCTCAAGGAAGACGTCGCACTTCCAGCACAACGGGAGGCAAACGGGCCACCTCGGAGGATTAGAGGCAAGGGCGGATGGAGAGAGAGGCGGGCGGAGGAGGGGGGGGCGTTGCGGATTGGGGTGGATGGATGAACCGAGTTAACGGCTTGGAAATACAAAGGAATGTGAAATAGACATTTTGTAGAAAACAAACAAACAAACACATACGCACACACACTTAATCACTCACTATTCACTCACACAGACACACACACACACACGCAACTATATATATATATATATTTATATATATATATATATATATATATATATAGAGAGAGAGAGAGAGAGAGGAGAGAGAGAGAGAGAGGGGGGGGGAGAGGAGAGAGAGAGAGAGAGAGAGAGAGAGAGAGAGAGAGAGAGAGAGAGAGAGAGAGAGAGAGAGAGAGAGAGAGAGAGAGAGAGAGAGAGAGATTTGATAACATTTATTTAGAGAACCGTAAACACGCCCTGCAAAAAAGCCAGCGTAAGATCCCGAAGCATCTCTCCAAGCTGGCTGTGCTTCTATTTGCGTATGGCGCTATCAGTAAACATTAGTGTTATATACATGCCTGAAGGGCTGTGCTATTGTCACTGTATTAAAATATCATCTGGCTGGTAAAAAAAAAATTAAGATATTCAGCACAGGTGGTGTCACGATTGCCATCAATCACTTGAGATGGAATTGATTTCTTTATGTAAATGCCAAGCCCTCTCGCAGAGGGATTGTAAATATTTGGTCTGTCATAGTTTGTGTACCCTGCAATTTTTGCATAAAGAGCACTAGTTCTGACTTCCTGAAGGCAACATACATCAATATTTTCAGAGTGAAGGCACTGTGAGAGAGCTGCCTAGTGGTTATGTTCCAAGTAATACATTTCACGAGATTACTTGGAGACATTGATTACTTGACCATTTCCAAGGCCCACTACAGGTGATGCTGTTACTGATCAAGGAGGAACGTGAACATCCTTTCCTGAGGGTGAGATTGCTGAACCATTTGTTGTTGTGTCATGAGCATCATCTGCTCCACCTGCTGACGTAGCATTTCTAGCTGATCATCTATTTCTCCGTTGGATTCTTGTTTGTCTTGCTACAATGAGGGCTGAGCTGCAACTGGTGCTGCAACTGATGGTGAACCTGGTGCTGAGCCTCCGGGCTAGTACAGTGGTAACGTGTCGGCCTCTCATCCGAGGGGGGGTCGGCGGTTCGCGCCCCGCCCGGGCGCGAAAAGTTGCAATTGTCGCCTGTCGACTAAGCTCAGCTGAGTCAGCAGCAGTTGACACACGTTAGCGAGTCGGCATTAGTCGCCACAGGTCGGGCTCCTCTCGTGAGCCCGGGCGAGGCTCAGCTTCGCACATCTGACTTAATCTGGCGCTGATGCTGGTGCTAGGGTTGGTGATGCAGCTGGCGCTGAGTTAACGGAGCTTCAGCTCCTGTTGGTGCTGGTACTGTGGCCGGTGCCATGACTTCCGTTGCAGGACCATCACTGTTGACCTCTGCAGGTGTGGGGATTCCCCTCATCATCAAAGCACAGGGCTGGAGGGGGGGGGGCGGAGGGGTGCCTGTTTTATTACTAATTGTTTCCAGCCCTTTAAGCAGTGAGGGCACAAAGGAGAATTGGCATTATGCTCATGTCGGCAGCTCACGCATTTCCAAGGGGCATTTTTTTCCTTCGGCACAATCTGAGCTTCCGTGTGGGAGCGCAGTGCCGGCATCGCGGTGCGTCTCGCGGCCAAGCACGTGTTCCGTGGCCCCACTCTGAGCAATTAGAGAAAAACGGGGTCGGGACTTGCAGACGGCACACCTGAAGGGTGCCAGGCCCTCGACCATTTCAATAGTTTTTGGGATTGCCTCCCCCTCATACGTCATGATGACTCTCTGGGTAATCGTTACATTAACCTTCGTGCGTCTCGCATGAATGATACGTTCCTTGTATGCAGTCATTTCTCCCGTTTCGATTTCCTTTGGAACACCGAACAGAATGACGTTCGTACATTTTCCCTTCACAAAAACCTCGGCTTTTTCAAGCATTTCACCACCTGCATCGGTAGTTGTTATATGAGCAAGAATTTGTTCGTTCTTGCATCTGACATAAACGTTATTTCTCCCAATTAAAAAGCGCGCACAGGAGTTCGGGAGGCGTAAGTTCCTCAGAAGCAGATAGCTGTCTCTCTGCCTTTTTCTTCAGCCTCTGCGAACCCCACCAATATCCTCCCCACTGAAGACATCATATTTCCCCTCGGTTTCCATTTGTTGGTTCGTCGCCACCGTCGCATCTGTGACCACGTAGGGGCCGACCTCAATGCCTTCCTTTGAAAATAAACAGTTGCACACATGGGTCGCCTAAGGTGCCTCACAGCACATCTGGGAGTGTGCGTAGGAACTTTTGCTTTTAATTTCAATATTTGCATTTATTGAAAGAGAGAGAGAGAGAGAGAGAGAGAGAGAGAGAGAGAGAGAGAGGGGGGGAGGAGGAGAGAGGGAGGGGAGAGAGAGAGAGAGGGGGGAGGGGGAGGGGGAGGGGGAGGGGGAGAGAGAGAGAGAGAGAGAGAGAGAGAGAGAGAGAGAGAGAGAGAGAGAGAGAGAGAGAGAGAGAGAGAGAGAGAGAGTGAGAGAGAGAGAGAGAGAGAGAGAGAGGGGGGGGGGGGAGAACCGCACATGTGCGAGACTGTGTTTCTGCATAATGCATACCGGGCCCCAGGAACGTGCCTTCCTGACGCAACGCTGCTATAAATAGGTCTGAGGTCACGTGTCAGCCCCGGGACCAGGCCGCCACGACCCCCGATCCGAGCTGGAGCGTCATCAAGCGGACGAAGTACTTTGATCCCGACGATCCTTTCGAACTCGTTATCGCCGCGACGAGGCAATCCGCCGTGAGCCGCCCCGACGCCGCCGCATGCGAGTGCTGCGATCCCTCCCGCGGGGCTCCCACGAAACCCCCGCAGGCACCCAGAGGCACCCAGAGGCACCCTTCCATCGTCATCCAGAAAGCCACTTAGGCAGTCTGGCTCAGGCAGACGCGGCAGGAGGGGGGCGTGTCCGGCGTTCAGCCGACTTCCAGCATTGCCTGACCATCTCGACTCTTGGCATTAACCAAAGGGCCTCCTGCCTCGCGTGAGCACCTCGGCAACAGCCGTTACGCTGCTTGGCCATCTCCAGAATCATGTCTCCACTGCTTCCTACATACTCCAGAGGCTGCATGACTCTTATGCAGACGGGTATTTATGCCGAAACTTTTCCTTGACGCCGACAATCCCTTCTAGCCTGAGAGTTGACCATGAAGCCATTGACAGAAACGCCCGCCTTGTCTCTGCAGCACGCAAGTAGCCCCGACTAATGACGGCGATCGAGGGCCTGGCACGAGGCAGGCCGGCGCTCTCCGCAACACAACCGCCGCACTGTGACCAACGAGCGGTGTCCGGTTACAGCGCCTCGACGCCGCTCAAACATGGCGCTCCACAAGCATGTGTTTGCTTCCATTAAACAAGCATACTAAGAGGCAACACTTGGGGCCTGATTACCTCTCAATGGCACTGCGAAGGCGAGGAGCGGCGGCCCGACGGAGGGGGAGGGGGCCAGATATTGATACATATGCAAAAGGGGAAAAGAGAACAAAACGTTATACGCCATGTGCGTATGGGGTGGTAGTAAAGGAAGGGGTAAGAGAAGGAAGAATAAAGGGAGAGACGGAAGGGAAGATGGGAGGGAGGGAGAGGGGTGGGAAAAGTATATACATCTACGAAAAAAAAAATATATGTATATGTGTGTGTGTGTGTGTGTGTGTGTGTGTGTGTGTGTGTGTGTGTGTGCGTGCATTTTTTCAACAAAGTTAAACACTCCACCTAATTCCGAAGACAGGCCGTCCCACACACACGGAAACGCCACAAACGCGCACACTCCGCGCAAACCGCGCCAGCCGAGGAAGCTGTCCTCTGATCCTGGATGGGCCTGGTCCCGGCGGCCGCCCGGGCACGGGTTAGACGCCTCTCTTGGTGGCCCGTAATCCTGAGCCGGTGCATTGGAGATGCAAACAGCTTTAACGTCCATCAAAAGAAAAAAGAAAGAAAAAAAGAAAGAAGAATGTCTAATCGACTGAATGACGGATCGGGGGGGGGGGGGGGGTAAAAGAGAAAGGCTAGTTGGCAACTGCAGTTCCGTGTATCATCAACAGGATGAGATGTTACGTATTAATGCATTTCCGCATTTTGTAACATACAATAGCGTGAAACATTACCATTACGGCACCTGGCAGGGAGAGTGGACAAGGGCCTTCGCATTCCCAGTCAGCATGGAGGAGGTAGCGCCACGCTAACACAAGGGACTTGAACTGCACAGTAACCGGGCGAACACGGTGACACGAGCGCCTTGCAGATTGCAGCCAGAACCACAGGCCAGGACTCAGTCATCTTGAGCCGAGGACTTGCATAAGCGCAAAGACCCGCTCGAAAGTGTAATTCTAAGCTCACTTTCCTCAGCCGACCTTCCCCGGCAACTTCCCAACACATTGATCGGAAAAGGCTTCGGGAGCTCTGCGCCCCCGGTGGCTTTGCCGTTGCTCTCGCCGGTGCGGTTGCAGGGCTCAGAAATCATAAATAGATAACTATACTCAGTGATGACGCTCATCCTAATACATATTCACGAAAACGATTTATCTTGCTCGTATATGTATAGTCATTTATATATGTGGATACTTAGGCCTTTGTTTGTAATTACATACATGTATTAGCCTATATTATGTGTATGTGTGTATATACATATACACATATACAAATATATACATACATACATGTATATGTATATGTATATGTATATATATATATATAT